GATTACCATGAAAGGGATGTGAATGCTATTTAGTTAATGTTATGTGATATTCAATTAGATGTGAATGCTATGCAGTGAATATCATGAAAGGGATGTGAGTGCTATTTAGTGAATGTTATGTGATATTCAATTAGTGAATGTGAATGCTATGCAGTGAATACCATTAAAGGGATATGAGTACTATTTAGTGAATGTTATGTGATATTCAATTAGTGAATGTGAATGCTATGTAGCGAATACCATGAAAGGGATGTGAATGCTATTTAGTGAATGTTATGTGATATCCAAATAGTGAATGTGCATACTATGTAGTGAGTATCATGACATGAGTGTGAATGTTAATTAATACGTGCCACGTAATATTCATGTGCTGAAGTGCCATATAATGAATAGTATACAATGAAATTCTATGTGCTGGCAAGGTGAAAGGCTTGAGTGCCAAAGTGATGAATGTTAAGTGAAGAGTGTTCTGATGGCATGCTCCAAGCATGACTCTCTATTATGTTTGATAATGGTGACATGATTCAATGACGCCACGCACGGGTTACCCGTAATAGTATGATGTGACTTGATAAGAGAGTAAGGCCGGCAATGTTCCCTAACTCCCTGTATGATAGGAGGGGAGCCAGGCTCTCTTCGCAGATCCTCTCGCTTGCAGCAGAACAGCCTCTCGCTCACAGCAGATCAACCTCTCGCTCGTAGCAGATCAGCCTCTCACTCGCAGCAGATCAGCCTCTTGTTTGCCAAGCAAGTCAAACAACTCCATTACTTGCCTATGTAACCCCTCGAGCTTTACTGTTGCCAGTCATATTAGATAGTTTCTCACATATTTGGAATTCCAACAAATTTCTAAAGGTGTTTCTGTTTCCTCTAACCCTACCTCACTTTCACCAAATCTGGTTAAGCCTACAAGTATCAGTTATAAGATAAGATATTCATACCCTATTTATAAGAATTAACCTGAATTACAACTTAGAAAGAAAGAACATGCAATGCACATATGGATTCTCTTATCTACACATAGCAAGTTAGATGCATCATCTCCCATCACCATCTTTTCTTTCTAGATAAAGTATTAGAGAGAAATTTATGGGATTTTGAGAGTAAGCCTGCTCCATACAACTGGGTTTGTTGCATTCCAACTAAACTCAATAAACTAATTCACGAAACATAGGAAGTGAATATATGAAATTTTTGCAATACAAATGAGGTTCAACAGAGCCTCAACAAGGGTGCACACGCTGAAGAGATGCCATGCATAACAAAAGTCAACTCGTATTGATAACACCTATATGTCATTTCTCTTGTCTCTCCTGACCCCTCTTTTGGACGGTCTGGATTTGATGGTTTCATGAATTTTACATCTATTAATTCTTCTTTCTAGTTCATGGCATTGGTTCTATCAAATTTGGCCTGCCTTAGTTCCTAGGTACAACAAGGGTACATTAAAGAACGAAAAAACATAACAATTTTATAAAATTGAGGGATCAATTTATGTATATGTAATTTGGATATGCTTTACATTGGTTTGTGAGTTTTTATTGTCAAATGTCCTATTTTTGTATTTTTGTTTTTGGATTTTTCTGGAATCTCCAACCCTAAACCATATTTTGTAATCCAATTTGTTATATTCTTTTGAGCTTATTTGGATTCCTTAGATGTTTTTAGTTTTATTTCGGGCTTAAATATTTTATTTTATTTATTAGCATTTTAAAGAAATCTTTTTTTTAAGGCGCTTTTGTGTCATGTACAGGCCTAGTCCACTCAGCCTCGCACTTGGCTGAGTTACTCAGGCTGATTCCAAGGCCCAAGCAAAGTGGAATAACACTGCCTAGTATTAACCATGAATGTCCGTCACACCCACAGACATGGCTACGATGTAAATACTCATACATGAACCCATTCATTTCTTTAACATTGGGAAAATTTGGTAGTTTACTCATGAATATTATTTTTAATAGATTTTTCACATAACACAGCGTAGAAGCTTGTGCACAAATGAGGCATGTGATGATTTTTTCTTTTTTTCTTTTCTACATACTTGCTTAACATCTATGGGGATAAAAATATTTTAACATCCTTAACTAACTTTTCTTTTCTTTTCTTTTTTTTACTATTTTTCTTTTTTTTTATGGTTCGAGTGTTTGAAAAAAGCATAAACCAATTTAGAAAGATATTCCCTTTAATGAAATATTTGTTGTAAACTCGAGACCTGCCATGAATGATGAGGTTAGGTGCATTGGCCGAAAAATGGTGATAACAAAGATGGCAGAGGTCAAGGAGGTAGGACACGAAACCTTGTGAGATCGCGGCTTTTTTCTAGAACTTGAGAAGAGCTTGAGGGAATTTGGGATCTGATTTGGTAACAGATGGAGAGCCTACGCTTGGATGGTTTCTGACCTTTGCATATGTATATCATATGTAGTCAACTCTGCTTGGTACTTGGTCGAGTTACTTGCTCAGGCAAGAGCCGAGTCCAAACAAGCAAAGTGTTATAACATCGCTTAGTATTTTTTAACCATGAATGTCTGTCATACATGAACCCATTCATTTCTTTAACATTGGGAAATTGTGGTAGTTTCCTCATGAGGCATGTAATGAACTTTTTTTTTTTTTTTTTTTTTTTAACAAACTTGTTAAACATCTATGGGGATGAAAATATTTTAAGATCCTAAACTAACTCTATTTTTTTCTTTCCTATTTTTTTTTTTTTATGGGTCGAGTGTTTGAAAAAAGTATAAACCAATTTAGAAAGATATTTGTTGTAAACTTGAGACCTGCCATGAACGATTTGGTTTGGTGCATTGGCCGAAAACTGGTGATTATAGAGATGGTAGAGGTCAAGGAGGTAGGACACGAAACCTTGTGAGATTAAAGCGTTTTTTTTAGCACTAGAGAAGAGCTCGAGGGACTTTGAGATCTGATTTGTTAACAAATGGAGAGCCTACGCTTGGATGGTTTTTAACGTTCGCATCTTTATGTTTTCTCACCACAGTCTTCTTTATATCTATGCTATTACAGGTTTTCCTCATTGTTTTTGTTTGTTATCTCTTCTATTTTTTTCTATTATAATTGATTTTGCACTTTGAAGCATATCATAATTTTTTACGCTTTTATGATTCACCTGATTTGATCCTTTCTTGTCATGTGTTTTGTATATTGGGTCTAAACTCTTAGACTATAGAACTGAATTGTATATTGTTCAAAACTGAATTTCTTGTCACCTGATTTTGTATATTGTTCAGAAGGTCTTGGGAGAAATGCTCAACAATTTATGCTCTAAACTCTTGGACTATAGAACTGAATTTACAATTTACAAGAAATCATTTTAATATGATGCAGAAAACTTTCTTCTTAGAGCATGTTGTTTTTTCTCTCGACAACCCAGTTTTTTCCCTCTAAACTCATTTTCTATCTCTTCTGGGTTGAATGTCTTAATTGCGTTTTTCTTTTACTCCACATCCGTCCCCTCTATTTGAGGCTGCCTCCAAACCCTAGATTTATCACCCTAAGGTTGTCGGCAAAGGACCTTGATAGATTGGTATCTTCCATTTTTCTCTGTTCTTCTTTTTTCTTGTTATTTTTACCATTGATAGAGGTGATATTGATGGATAAAATAAAAGTAGACATTGTTGGTAATGGTCATCATTTGACCTGGACACATGGTTTGGGGTTACTCTTTTCTTTTTAACCTATCTGTCGTCTTTTCCTATTAGATAAGGGCAAGTCTTCGATGCTTCGCCTTAGTTTCCCCTCACGTTGGCAAGTTCTCCGTCACAATGACCTTGGCTAGGATCACAAATTTCCTCCATTTGAAATGCATTGTGGTCTATGGACACATCAAACGGTGTGAGACTGGCCTGCCATGTCAATAAAAATCCCAATTCTTTTATTCCCTCTTTCACACACATGCAAATGGACAAATAAACATTTATATTATTCGATCACATCCGCACCCACGGACTCACCATGCTTCATATGGTAATGAAATCCAAGAAACATTTCCTAATCAGACAAGGGGTGCTCCATCATGATAAATTCATGCTTGGTGTCACTCTTTTGAAGGTTTACTTGAATACTTCTATTTCTTAATTCTAGAACAACTAAAACTAGATATACTAATATATAATGTCCTTTGATGTCATTTCACATATACTTGAAACTGGCTCCGTAAGATTTGTTTCTTGTTGATCAGTTTTCTTCAGAAATCTCTAATAATGACCGAGTGCAAAAGATATGATTAAGAGCTATCTCAAAAAGATCTAAGGGCATTAGATGATCTCTCATATTACCTTATTCTTTACCTCACCAAATCATGGGGTAGACCCTATCTTGGAAGGAGCATTCTGAAAAAGCTTGTGACTGCTAGATTTATTCAATGAATAATTCAGACTACAGTGGAGAATTATGATGCATGTGGATTTATTTCATTTAGGTTTTATGCTTGGTGGATTCATCAGAAGATTCAAAACTTTTTACTACTAGATCCATCTATTTGGTTTCATTTCACCTTGAATTTGGTCAAATTTGGTTAGATGTTCATATTTCTCCCTCTTCGTGTGTGTGTGTTTGTGAGAGAGATAGGTAGATAGATAAATATATAGATAAATAGATAGATAGATAGATAGATAGAGAGAGAGAGAGAGAAAGAGAGAGATTCATTGATGATATGAATTGCATCACAAGACATGAATAATTTAGTTGACTTGGGATATGATTCCTGCCCATAATCGGATGGCAACCTGCCAATGGAATATTTGGTAGTATGAAATGTTGGTATTAGTCACTATTTTGAATGAGGACCCCAAAAGTATATATAGCCATTGAATTTGGAAAATGCAACTTTGTATACTGTTTGTTTGCTTTTGCTGGTTGCATTGTGGATATTTGTTGTTTATCTTGTTAAACAAGATGGTTTCTCAGGCAGTTAACCTTTTCTCAAAAAAAACAAGATGGTTTCTCAGTTACCTATATTGTTAAATCAATGTAATTTTTTGCAGGTGGTAGAGTTGGGATTTACGCTAGTAGTATTGGCTCATGTTTGGGACAATTCCATGCCGAATGAAAAGAACAGTATGTTATGTCAGGAGTGGAGGTCTTGCTGTTCAACCATTGCGTGCATGTTTACAGCTCTGTTGTAGGAAGCTTGGTTGCTGGCTGTACAGGTACTAATTTATATTGCTATTGGATATTTTTTATCTCCTTAAGCTGGAGGAATATCCAAATAACTGGTTAAAGCTCGATTTGTGAAATTGGGATATTCTCTGTGTACTGTAGTCTTTGTTGGTATGTGCCATTATAAGTAATCTTGTAACCATTTCTCACCATTTCCTCTTATTTTTTCTGTCCTTCTATAGATCTGATTCAAGCACCTCATCATTATACATTCTCCTTTTTCTCCTATATATGCATAGTAATTTTCAATTTTTGAGTACTTGTTACTCCCATGGTTTAATGAGTGACCAGTTTATATGATTATATTACGTAGTTTTGACTCTTTTTTATTTCATGTATCCCTGGCAAAATTACTAATCTTGAATTTTCTGCATCAGGAACATGCATAGTTTAGTATTTCACCCCCATCATGATGCATGGAGGACATGTCCATCTTCAATGCCATAAAAGAAGTTCATTTGCATAGAGGGTGTGGAATAAAGGGAGTTGTCAACCCCAGCTGCGCCTCCTATTTCCGAGCCTTCAATAATCGAAGGCATCGGTGCATTTATCACCGAGGCTATGGATGAATATCATGCTGCAACATAGAGAGCTTGGTCATGTGCACATGTTTTGCTTCATTTGGCGAGGTTCTCATTTGAAACTGAAGGAACTAAGCAGGCATTAGCAATTGCTTTTTGTAAAGCTGCATTTTCATGTTCTCTTGACATTCAAAGCAAGCTAGTGGCTTTGAGGAAGCCGCTTTTGCTCGTTATTGCATCTCGTTGTATATGTTTCCTTGATTATATAAAAAAGGTTTTGGAGAAGGATGAGGATGAAGGTCTCACTGTGTGGGTTTGTGGAGTGGTGTATATTTTTGCTCGTTTGTTCTTCATCTAGCTCTTAGAAAAAGTTGGTTGGTGAGTTTGATTGCTTTGCTTTAGTCTCAAATGGGCAATGAAGATTCCTGTGTGTATCATTATACACGCACATCCTAATTCTGAATGGTGATTTTAGAAATATCTAATAAAAAAATTTTAAAAACCTTTTGCCCTTATATCAATTAAAATACATGTCTTTTCCTTTCTATAAAACAAATGGAGGGCGCTTAATATAAAACTCTCTTCAAGATCCCAGATGTCTCCCATTAGGAGGATATCTATTGTCAAGAGACTTCAGCACCTAATGAGAACTTCCTTTGGTCAGTAGCGCAAAGAAAACATAAGTTTCATCTAGTAAATTAGGACACCATTTGCCAGCAGATGAATAGGATCCTATATGGAAAATGGTGGTGGCACTTTGCAATGCAGGATGACCAACTTTGGAGGCTGGTTATTCAGTGAAGGTATGGTTGTGAGGGCTTAGGCTTTCTCTAGGGGTTCAACCAATGCAAGGGCCCGGGGGATTGAAAAAGTATCATCTCTGCATATTTGGCCCATTTCGTATTCGGTTCATGGCAGAAACTAGAGATAATATTCAAATGTGGAGACATCAATGATTGTGAAAAAGCAGTTTGGAAGCCCAATTCCCTATCATCTTCCCAGTGGCAGCTGACCAAGGTTGTCATGTCTCTAACGCAAACAAAATTCTCTTTAGGCATGTTGTTTGATCCGAGGTTTAGAACAGAATTGTCCAATGATGAAATTCGAGACTTGATGACCCTGTTATAACCCCTAAATCCAAATTTCCATCCTCACCAGGGCAGGGACATGATGGTGTAGGAGCCAGCTAAATTAGGGTTCCGTTTGGCATAACATCTTTCTATGAGCAGCTTTGGCCAAGTGATCTTTCCCTGCCATTTCCAGCGAGGTATGGCTCTCCCCAGTCCGGGCCAAAACCTAGGTTGTTGGTTATTGATTAGCAAAAAGCTCTCATGTTGGACCACATCCAGCATGGGGGAATACACTTCACTGACATATACAAATGTATCATGTACAAAACAAAACTAGGAATCAATTGGACTAGTAGGATTTCTATTTGTGGCTAGAGACTGAACTAGTGTTTGAATATTTTTTAGCCCACTAAATCTCTTGAGGTGTCTTCTGGAGACTGAACTAGTGTTTGAATATTTTTTAGCCCACTGAATCTCTTGAGGTGTCTTCCCAACATGCATGGCATGAAGCTAATGCTATCGAGGATATACCTCCTCATGAAGAGTATTTTCGTTCGCTAAATTTTGATATACCACAACATTTGTGTTGTTTTCTTGTCTTTGAATTATTTTTATTCGAAAATGATATTCTTCAGGAGCAATGTATGCTAGAATCATGTCATGTTCATATTTTGCCTCTTTCTTTTCTGCAACCTTAATCAAAGTCCTTTTATGGTGTATCTGTAGTGAACTATTCAAGACCCTTTCCTGGCTATTTTCAGGGGAGTGAAAAGGCAAACAGATAAAGGAATGAAGAATTATTTAGAGATGTGCTAGTTGGAGAGTACTACAGGCACTGCTCCAATGAAAGCATACACTAGAATAGGAAGGATAAACAAAATCACCTACACAGCACTTGCTTTTTCATGTGGTTTATGTCTTCTCTTTGTTTTGCCTTGTAATTGTAAGTGTGATATTTTATGTTGTAATTGGAGATGTGCATTTGGGAAAGCTTTCTATGTAACCCCACCCACATATGTAATATATGTGATCCTTGATCTCAGCTGTCAGATCTGAGTTGATGGCTTGAGCTACAATATCACAAGTTGGCTTATAACCTTCAAATCTTGATCGGACAGCTCATAGTTATATATCATTTCGAAAAAAAATTTGGGGCATGCATAGATCTAATAGGGGCCCACATGATAAAAATAATGATAAAATATTTTTAGTGACGAAAAGTTACCATAATATTTCCGGTGACGAAATATTTGATTTTTATTTTATATAGGTTCGTCCTAGTTTATGATGGCATGCACAAAATTTCATTCAAAAATATTTTAAAATGACTTTCCATGTTACTATAGTTTTCTTAATGATGGTGTATCATTGTTGTCTCATTATGCACTTTCCTTCGATTGATAGGAGTAAGCATTGAGATGACTTGGAGGAAAAAGAGGAGGAATGGACGGAAGGTTTTTTCTATCAATTTTGCTTTTTGTCAAATTTTTTTATCAATAAAAAAAAAAGTTTCTTATAAAAAAAAATGAAAGGTTCTTATCAATTATTTTTCTTGTTAAATTTCTTTTTTTTGTCAACAAAATAAAAGGTATTTGTCAAAAAATTAAAAAGTAATAAAAAGTTATTGTCAAAAAAAAAAAGTTTTATAAAAAAAAGTAATACAACAAATATTTTTTATAAAAAAAAAGGTTCTTGCAAAAAACAAAAAAAAAATGTAATACGATAAACATTTCTTGTAATAAAATAAAAGGTTTTTGTCAAAAAAACTAAATCGGCTCGGCTCGGCTCAGGTCAACGAAATTCTATGCCACTTGAACTAATTAGGTTTAGCTATTTTAGCTGAGTTGAGCGGAGCCAAGCCGATATAAGCTGAGCCGAGCCGATATAAGCTTAGTGAAGCTGTTTTAAGCCGAGCCAAGCTAATGTAAGCCGAGCCAAACTTATATGAGAGCCAACAGTATAACAACAAAAGCAAGAAAATTTTTATGTGTTTTTGCTTAGAATGTAAAAGGATAAAAAATTGGGGCCCGGCTCCAGTGGGTTTGTAAGCAATCGACGATTCTGCCCCAAAAAAGGGTTACATCTCGAAACTTGATAGGATTGGTAGAGCTAAAGCCCTGAATTTTAGTGTAGGCTTCCATGGCCTTCTTCTGGTTTTTTGGGTTTTCAAATTGAGGGGAAGATTTGGAGAAGGCAGCGATGCCATGCCTCCGTCGACTGCAAATTTCTAGAATATGATTGGAGAAGGGAGCGATGCCATGCCTCTGCAGACTGCGAATTTCTAGACTATGGAGAATGTCGCGGCTGCCTCAAGGCTTCCAACACCTCACCACCTTTCAAGCATTGAATCTTCCATCGACGGGCGATGAGTTTATGGAGTGGCTGCGCAACGAAGAACGTTACGAAGTGGAGCACATCTTGCTCATTCAAGTTTGGCAGAAGACCACTGAAGGATGGCAGATTACCACTCTTTAGAATGTTGCATGTGCGTTCATGAATGAGAGCCGCTCCCATAAACTCATTCCATGGTAATCCTCTACCCCAAATCTTCATTTTCTTTCAGACAGTGTACCCGAGTCTCTCACTACCCTAGTCTTATCCCATTCCATTATCACCCAAGGCCCCTTTGCCATCCTTCACTCGTTGCCCCAACTCACGGCTCTGGTTTTGCTCGGGTACTCATATGTTGGTAAATGTCTAGCAAAATGCAGCGCAGGCAGCTTCCCTAAGCTTCAAATTCTACACCGAAGATGGAGGATGGGGGTCAGTTTTCGTCTCCTTGCTTTCCTTGTGTACGAAGATGAACTGCAGTTGCAATTAATATTTAATGTTTAAACTGAATTGAGAGTTTGCATGCTTCAATATTATAATGCACTAACCATGGTATTGTTGGACCAAACCGTGTGAATTATGAACGTTTGTTGCCATTGGATATGTAGGATTATGTGTGTGCTCATGAGTGTGCCATGCTGATAGACATCAATATTGTGTTAGAAGGCTTATCATCTTGAACGAGGGTGTTTAAATTAAAAAGAGTCAGTCCTTTGGAAGAAAATGAAACATAAAACTCGGTGATGAATGAAACTTTTCTCAATAATGCATATTTACCTTAGGAAATATTCCCTTTTATAAGTCTTTTGTGGCATGCAATGTGAAACAGAGCATCAACGTATGAACTTATGCAAATATAGGGCTCAATTGTTCTATGTGGATATGTTATTTGCTGAGATGAGAGATAGAACCTTTATTCTTCCTTGTTGCTTATCCAAATCGAACCTTATAAGGGTAATATCTATCAATTTTAGAGTAGTATTTGCTTAAGTCTTTAGGATTGACAACATTCTCTGTGAATTTTCAGGGGTTCTACCTTTTAAAATTCACAAGCCTCTGCCATTTATTGGTCTTTCTTTCAATAGAGATACTAAACTATAAGGAATGCTTCTCCGTGGAGAAAAAAGGGCTACAAACTATCGCTTCATAGAGCTATGAGCTGTCCCTGGATGCGTCTGGTTTCGAGTTAGCCAACTCATCTGCCACTGTATTTACCTTCTAAAAAATGCATTTAACAAGTTATTGAGAACTGATCTTAGTTCTGCTGGTTCTTTAGAAACTATCGATGGCATGCCAAATTTCTAGATTACAGTGGTAGTATCAAACTTTATAAAACTGATGGCTCATCTGTAGTTATCATCAGTAGTTACCCCTATCTTTAGAGAGAGAATATTGTTAATGGCATAGATAAACTTGTGAGATGAGAGCTTCTTCTTTTGAGGTGAGGTTTAGGAAAGGGGTGACAGAATCAATGTCTCAGAGACAGAATATAAAAGAGAGTAGGTGAGACTTAGGTTGATGCCGATTTCAATACGACTTTAATTATATTGAGAGAGAGAGAGAGAGAGAGGGAAGAAAGAGACAGATTGATAGGACGAGCCCTTGGGATGTAAAATGGAGAGATTTTAGGAAAGGGAGAAGTGATGGGTGGAATACATTTGCTGGTTAGGAACTAAAGTCGAGTCCGGTAAGTTAGAAATTTTAGTTTACATAGGTCATCTTTTGAGAGATTTAATTTGCATCAGAATTCTCCTTTGGAATTTATACATATCAAATTCAGTTTTCTTGAATATATGGTATGAGGATAGAGGTGCACACGTATTCCCAAGTTAATTAGTATCTAAGAAAAATATATTGTGTATTTTTTTTTTTCAAAACTCCCCTAATAGTAACGCTTGTCAAAATGTAAAGGGCCTTGCAACAAACGAATGCAAATTAAAGAGGCTTAGTACATAGTACTTGTTTTTAAAATTGGCTTGGATTTATTGCCTTTTCATTTTTCCTGGTTGATGATCAATTCTTCTTTCTTTTGTTTGTGACTAAGTAGATGATTTTCATGCATTTCAATTGCCTTGGATTTATCGCCTTTTCATTTTTCCTAGTTGAGGATCAATTCCTCTTTCCTTTGTTTGTGACTAAGTAGATGAATTTCGTTCATTTCAATTTCATTTCTACCAGCGCTTACAATAACATTCGCCCTTCCTGGGCATAAATCCACAACCAACTGTTAAAACTATTGGATATTTATCACATTGGATTGATTTAGAGGGTTCTGCTACGAACTTTAGTTATATGGGGGATAATATTTTCATAAGGAAAACTGACATTGTATTTCAATTTAATGAAAGGGTAGCCCATGATTATCATCTTTTTTGGGTTATCTATGGTATTTATTATTTTGAATGAGAATTTGGTTATATGAATGGGGACTTGCAAAATGGGAACTCGGTTTCACGCATGATGATTTAATTGTATGGGGAATAGGGTAAAAGGGTAGGTTGGTCATTCTACTATTTTGTTAGAGGTATTTTGGTCAATATCAAGGGTCCACAAGTGGGTTTCAATATACTGTACATACGCAGTTATTGATGTTATTTTGATTTATGGAATTGAAAAACATTCCCTCCTACTTTGGTGTAGTAGAGAAAACCCCTACTTTGTATAGAGGTGCAGCCTTACTTCGAGTAGTGACGTGGTTAGGGCTGGAAAGGCCCTTGTTCCTTTACCTTTCTTGATGGTGATCAAGGATGTTTTCCTCTTGTTGATCGTCTGGCATGATCGACTTGTTGTTGTCTGGGTGTCGGTTTTGCACCACTGTGCATTAAAATTGGGGCTTTGTAATCAATCGACGAGCACGTAAACTGTTATGAGAACAACTCAAGGACATGGTCGTTGTATGTTTGATGGAGTAATTGTGATATGCTCGATTCAGCCACTTAAACATGTTAGAATTGCCAAATTTTAGACGTTTACACTCTTTGAAATTGCCTCAGTTCAGCGGCAAGTTGCTAAGTGCAGTGATAATTTGATGAGACAAGGGTTTCTCTATGGTCTGTCTATTTAAGACCGCAAAAAAAATTATGCTCGCACAACGAGATTACCTCTCGTTTGGTTATGAGGTGAATTATAACTGCAATTGGATACAGACTGCCTTTGTCATTAACGACCAAACATCATTCAGAGCGGTTTGACTTCACCTCATCCACCAGATCCTCAACTCTCCTTTGACTTGACCTTTTTTATATCCCTTATATACCACTATACGACTTCCTCAATTCTCATTAGATTATTTTATTCCTTCACATATAACTTTGTCACCACGACAATCATGAACTTGACCTCTCTAACCACTATCAAGGATCTAATTGATTGAAATAACAGGAAGCTTACAATCCAAGCTTCTAGCTCTCTGGTGACACCAGGATTTTAAACAAAATGATATCTAAGTCTGAAAGCAAAACCCTGAATATGACCGCTATTTATAATAAAAGATTTTACTTAAAATCCAAAGAATCCTAATTCTAATTGAAAAAAAAGAAGTCCTGATTAAAACAAAATTTGTGATAACATTTTTACCCTTGATAAAATAAATATTCCATAATAACTCTTAACTAGCTTAATCAAGCATTGATGTTGACTCCTATCCAACCTATTCACCAAATGGCTTCATGCCCAAGCCCTCAATCAAGCCCATCCTTAGCCATCTATTCCACCCCTCAGCCTACCTCTTCAGCCTTAATTCCACCTCACCCTCCTACTCCCCCCTGGTTATCATTTTTTTCACATTCCTCCTTTTGAAGGTCCCCTACCCTCTATGATATTGTACAATCTCAGTGACACGCATTCTTCTTCCCCACCCACTCATCTTTCCTCCCCTTTGATAACCCCTCTTCCCCCTATTCCTCGAAATCTTCTCCACCGGTCTCTATGAACTCTAGCTTTGTGGACGCAATCAACCAAGCCCAAGGCAATCCTCACGAGATCCTTTCAGTGATCGGCTTCCTGTTCAACAGCCTACTTGAAGCCTTTGAAGCCTTCATCAAAGTTGATAGCAAATCTAGACGCCAGTATAAAACGAAGAATGTCAAAGGTAAGGCTCCTGCCACCAATTCGAGAGCATCCTAAGAGCTACACAAACTCTTTCAAAGTAAGGTACAAAACAAGAGAACCCTCGACTAAGGTCCTCCCCATTCCCTCAGCTCCTCAGCATTCTCACCGCTCGACCAAGAGTGCCATCTGCCCCTTAGCTGTGCTATGAAGATCCTTATTTGTAATATAAGGGGTTTTGACCACCCAGGAAAACGACGAAATGCTCGTCAATTTGTTTCACAGTACTCTCTATCTCTTTTTGGTTTGGTGGAAACCAAGTTTCCTTCTCCCTCTCTCTCCCAAATTCGGAATATTTGGGGATTTCCCCTGCCAATGGTTAGCTCTGGATGCAATAGGACTTTTTGACAGTATCTGGGTCCTCTGGTACCCATCTCAACACACCTTAGTTGCCTCTCACATTGGCAAGTTCTCTGTCACGGTGACCTTAGCTAGGATCACAAATTTCCTCCATTGGAAGTTCCTTGTGCTATATGAACCACAAGAAGACAACGAGAAAACTTGGCCGTTTTGAGAGAGGTACAGTCTTTGATGACCCTCCCTTCTTCAAAGTGGTGCATAGGAGGTGATTTTAATATCACCAAATGGTCCCGCGAACGTAATTCCCACGACAAAACTACCCTTTCAATGGTACAATTCTTTGATTTCTTAGCTCATGATAGTCTTGTAGACATCATGTTCGAAGGTGCGGAGTTCAGTTGGTCAAGTCACTCAGCTAATCCATACCTGTCAAAATTAGATAGATTTCTAACCCCTCTCCAATGCGATCACAAGTTCCTGGTGCTTTCTATGCCCACTTCAGATCATAGACCTATCCTTTTGGAAACCCAAGCCCTTCCTCGAGGGCCTAAGCTTTTTTGCTTTGAGCCGTCTTCTCTCCAAGAGCCGGGCTTCCCCTCACTTGTCCATAACCAATGGGGGTCCTCCTCCCTCGTGAAGGGAAAGCGGGGGGGGGGGGAGTTTATCTTGCATAAAAAGCTTCAAATGCTCAAAGTTTTTCTGAAATCATGGAGTTCACAGCTCCTTCGAAACTTGCAATACCAAAAAGACTCCCTTTTGAGGCCTATTCAACAGTGGGACTCCATTAAAGAACATAGACCTCTCTCCCCTTTTGAGCTGGATTCACGATCCATCCACAAACATGATTACCTGTGCCTCTTAAAAAAAGAAGAAATCTATTAGGCTCGGCAAACCAAAGTCAAATGGCTCATGCTTGGCGACCAAAATACAACTTACTTTCAAAGGATGGCCAACTGCTGAAGAAGGGAGAACTCTATTACCCACTTCAAGGTGGGGGACCAGATTGTTGACCATCCCAATCTCATTGGGCAGCAGCTGTCACATATTTTTCCAAGCTTTTCTCTTCTCCTTCTGGTCCTAGGCCAGTAATGGTGGGCTTCCCGTTCTCTTCTATTTCTCTAGAATCTGCAGCCTCTTTGGAAAGCCCTTTTTCAGAGGACAAAGTACTACAGGCCATTAAAAACCTCGGTGGAGACTGGGCCCCCGGCCCTGACGTCTTCCCTTGTAGGCCTCTTCCTATGATTCTTGCATTCAAACTGTCATAGTGTTTATAATATTTTGTGTGGATTCTTCTTTTGTGCAATTGTTTATTCCTTTGTGACCGCTTCTGTGAAATTTTTATTATGTAGTTCGGACGCCCACTATATGGTGACGTTTTTGGTGTCCAACAACAATAACAACCTAATTATGAGGTATGCAGATGTGTATTTGGGAAAGCTTTCTATGTAACCCCGCCCATATATATAATATATGTGACCCCTGATCTCAGCCGTCAGATTTGGGTAGATGGCTTGAGTCACAATGTCACAAGTTGGCTCTTAACCTTTAGATCTTGATTGGACGGCTCATAGTTATATATCATTTCGAAGAAAAATTTGGGTATGCATAGATCTGATAGGGGCGCACATGATAAAATTAATAATAAAATATTTTCGGTGATGAAAAGTTACCCTAATATTTCTTGTGACGGAATATTTGATTTTTATTTTGTTTAGGTTCACCCTAGTTTATGATGGGACGCTTTAAATTTCATCCAAAAATATTTTGTATAAAAAAATGAAAAATAAAACAGCATTTGGCATGACATTGTGGGCATGAACAATCATAGCGATCAATTTCGAATCAAACAGCTAAGAAGTGGGGTCATGTATAACTTTTATGTTGTTTGGGTCACATAGAAAGCTTTCCCTATCCATTTTCACTTGGTTTTTTGAATTAATAGAATAAATCCTTTGTTATTATAATAAACTTCATGCATAGGCAATTAAATCTTCCTTTGTTGGAAAATGACTTTCCATGCTACTATGGTTTTCTTAGGTTTCCTAATGATGGTGATATCATTGTTGTCTCATTATGCATTTTCCTTTGATTGAATTGGAAGCTGGTATTCAATCAGGTGCCAGCCTCTCCAAGTCTCTCTCTCTCTCTCACTATTGTATTAATAAATTGAGTTTTTTAAGTTCCCTGCAGTACGCCAACTAGTGTGAAGGCACCTGACATTATTGATCTTCGAAAGCAACAAACGAAAGAGCCAAGGAAGCCTCTTTACCAAGTGAATACATTGAAAGATTTTGGGCACAATCTTCCAGTGAGCTACATTATTAGTCATCTTTTGATTACCATTTTATTCTCGTGCAGTCCAACACCCTATTTCTCTTGTTCTAAATAAGGTACTCAAAGAGAAGGAAGAAAGGATTGCACCAGGAACCTTACTCGGAACAACACACATGTATGTCTACACCTTAACTAGCTGCTTATCTGACCATCATTCTCATGAATTTGAGGACTTCTTTTGTGCATTTTCCTATTTCTCTTTGTGTTAGTTTTTTTTGCCCTTTTTGATAGAGGGTTTAACGCAGGGAAACACTTGATTAGCATTTGAGAACTTTTTTCCTTGGACAGGTATGTGCTTGGGGCAATGGATAAAATTGGTGCTAAAAGGGTAAACACACTTATTTCTGTATGTTAGTGTTACTCCACAAGCACTTAATGATTTGTTGGCTAGATTTATATATGAAATTATTTCGACCTCTTTTCAATTATCCTCTGCTTTTTGTCATACTGATTCCACATGATCCTTACCCAGGTTGAGCTACTACTAGGACAAAGTGGATGTCACTCTTAGGTTGGAAGAATCATAGGCTTTGGATGATGTTACTTTGGCAGCAAAGGAAGGTATTTTTTTTTATAATAGGAGCCCAGATTCTTGATGTGTTGTTTGATGCATGCATGCAAAGTTTTACGCGTTTTATGGGAGTGAGTTATTCATTATTGGGTGACATGGATCATGTATGAGGAAGCAAGGGAAGAGGAGAAGCTATGAAATCAACGCAAAGGACTTCAGTGACATGGTGGCAGAGGTTTGTTCTGAGTGCATTCTAGAGTAGGCTGGAATTTCTGTTCGTGTTGTACCATGGGTTTTACTTTTTTTTTTTTTTAATTTTTTGAACGCTATGTAGGCTAAGAGAAAGAGGAAGCGCAAGATGTAGGAAAAAAGAAGGGAAGGCAAAGAAGAAGGATTTCAAGTTTTAGGCACAAAGCTATACGTCAAATTTGCATAGCATGAATGCTCCCCCTCCCCCATTGGATATATTATGTTTGGTGAATGTATTGTGAACTCTGAAATTTGAAGGATCTGACACATTGAAAGTTCGTATTGACATGTAAAATGTGAAGTTCTTTAGTTGATCTTGGGCCCATCTTGGTTCGATTAATGAATGGACAGAGCAGCTAGCTGTACTATTAAGGTAGGAGTGATGTTTAAAGGGAATTTGATTGGTGAATCTATTCTGAGATCGTCAATGAATCTTAATTGTGCCTAAACTTGGTGGAAAGTTAGAAGTGGTTTTATTTTCTTTAGGGAAGCCATGACCTATAAAGCATGAATTTCTCAAGGTTCGCCGATGTGATGCTCTTGTTTTTATGTTTTGTTTCTTCTTTTGTTTCCCCCTTAGTGTCAATGAGCAACTGATACCAAGAAGCATTATTATCAGCATCAGAAATGTCCATTGTTGGCATGATATAAATGGGTGCATATCAATAGGTAGCAAGCTAGGGAATAATAAATATTGGCAGATCAAAATATCGGTAATAAATCAGTTTTATTTCAAAAGGTCAAAGGAAAAAAAGGGTTAGAAATATGGATCGCAAAAAAAGGTAAGTTATAGAATCGTGAATATTACGGATTTGGTTAAAAAAATGTAGTAAAAAATCAAATATGCAAATATCATAGTTGGTAAGTCTCCATTTAAAACATAATTTATAAATAAATAAGAACTTCGAGTTTTTCAAAAGATCTTAAAAAAATTGCTTTTTTTAGTGGAAAATGTTTCTATACTTCCCCTACAGTATAGAAGATCTATGCTTCCCCTACCATCTAGTCGTCCAATTTTGATCAAGAAAGCCACTCACCATTTGATCTTAGATCCAATGTTTCAAAATATTTTATTTTTAATTTTTTATATAAATTGTATGAATATGAAATTTGATATGTGCCATATTCTCATTGGGGTGCACCTATAAAATATTTTCAATATTTTATTGAAAATATTGTTTTTATATTTTTTATTAGTGCGAGTTTAATAGGGGATTGGACATCCAAAATTTGGTGTCAAAATGATTTATAAAAAAATTTAAAAATAAAATAGTGTAGAGACATGACATTATGATTGGGGCAATCTTAGCTCTCCATTCAGAATGGACGGTTGGATAAGGGGAAGTATGTAAGTTTTATGCTATAGGGGAAGCATAGAAAGCTTGCCCTTTCTTAATAGTACTGATATAAAATCAAATTTCATCTTTTATGAAAAATATTTATTCTCTATAACTTTATTTATTTATTAATTTAATATTATTGAAATTCGGTTTAAAGATAAGTAAAATAACAATAGAAGTAAATTTAAAATCTTGATTTTAAAAAAAATACCATTAAAAGTTTAGCAATGAGTTCCCTAAAAAAATGTACAAAAAAATACAAGCAATATGTTCCCCAAAAATAAAAGCGACAAAAACAATCATATATCTAAAAATAATAGGTAGAACTAAAAGAAGAGTAATCCAAAGAAAAATCTATTTTTTTAATTTAAACCCATAATAAAGAGCTAGGGAATTTTTGGCTTTAATATCTTTCATTTTGTACATATTTAAATAAATTTTCTATTTTCGAAACTTTTATTTTAATAAATTTTTCAGAATTTTATCTATTTTCTCATTTTTGGGATTTTAGGCCAGCTATTTATTGAACTCGGCTCAGCTTTTGTCTGCGCTAAAGTGAATTTGGCGCGGCACGGCTCGAGTTTGTCTTGGCTTGGCTCGGCTAACGTAGGCTCGCGTCGATTAATGTCGTCTTGGCTAGGCTAGCATCGGCTCAGCTCGGCTCGGGTCAATGAAAGAAAGTCCATTTTCCTTGAACTAAGTTTAGCTATTTTAGTTGAGCCGAGCCGAGCCGAGTCGATATAAGCTAAGCCGAGCCAAGCTAATGTAAGTCGAGCCGAACTTTTATGAGGGTCAACAGAATATCCGCAAAAACAATAAAATTTTAATGTGTTTTTTTTAGAAAAAACAACTTTTTCTGTTTAGATTATATGTAGAAAGATAAAAAAAATGGGGCTTGGCTCAAGTGGTTCTTAAGCAGTCTTGCCCCAAAAAAGGGTTACATCTCGAAACTTAATAGGTTTGGTGGAGCTTGAAACTTAATAGGTTTGGTGGAGCCGAAGCCTGAATTTTAGTGTAGGTTACACGGTAAAAAAGCCAAGTGGAGCACAACCGCTCATTCGAGTTTGGTAGGAGACCACTGAAGGATGGCAGATTACCGGTCTCTAGAATGTTGCCTGTGCGTTCATGAATGAGAGTCGCTCCTCATAAACTCATTCCATGGTAATCCTCTACCCCAAATCTTCATTTTCTTTCAGATAGTGTGCCCGAGTCTCTCACTACCCTAGCCTTAGCCCATTCCATTATCACCCAAGACCCCTTCACTCGTTGCCCCAACTCACGGCTCTGGTTTTGCTCGGGTACTCATATTTTGGTAAATGTCTAGCAAAATGCAGTCGCAGTTAATATTTTAATGTTTAAACTAAATTGATTGTTTGCATGCTTCAATATTATAATGCACTAATCATGGAATTGTTGGACCAAACCATGTGAATTATGAACGTCTGTTGCCACTGGATGTGTAGGATTATGTGCGTGCTCATGAGTGTGCCATGCTAATAGACATCAATATTGTGTTAGAAGGCCCGTCATCTTGAACGAGGGGGTTTAAAATAAATATAATCAGTCTTGCGGAAGAAGATGAAACATAAAACTAGATGATGAATGAAACTTTTCTCAATAATGCATACTTACTTTAGAAAATATTCCCTTCTATGCCTCTTAATGAAAGCATTAAACAAATTCATCAAAGAATTAAAATAGCATATTGAAGAGGTCTCATCTAGTTATCGGAAAGGCAAATTATAAGAAACTATAAGATCCAAAATATCATTGAATAAACTTTTTTTATGTGCATAAATATTTGAACCGTAGACATTAGTTAAATCCTTTGAAAAACCTCGCAAAGGACACATAAATAAAATAGACGCACATCACCCAATCCCTAACATTTTTATTATAATCATTCAAGGCACGGTGTCAAACCTAGACCTCCAAAGCACGGCTCAAACGCGTCTGGCTCCTCCAAAGAAGATGATTAAGATGTTAAACTCTGTTACGATTCATGGGAGCATATATGCATTAAATGGAGAATGGAGATCGAAAAAAAGAGAATACAATATTTATGTGGTTCAGGCAGGTCGAAACTGTGGTTTAGGCAGGTCGAAGCTTTACGTTCACGGATTAAAAACCCAACTGGCTACATCTTCACTATTTTGGATAAGAATTAATAAGAGGTCTTATCAACAATAACTAACCAATACCTAAGTTGATGATCAAGTAATTTGACTTTGGTCTGTTTTTATCTTCAAGATTCCCCCTGAAGTTGGGGCACGGAATGAAGCGAAATGACCAACTTGTCTTCAAGATTCCCCTAAAGTTGGTGCACGGAATGAAGCGAAGTGACCAACTTAACCAGAATTGGAGTATTGAAACCGAAAAGTTGCCAAAAAAACTTGCATTGCTCTCGCTGGAGTGGTTGAATAGTCTGCAAGAGCGAATAAATATGATCTGGTACACGTGATCACCAAACTTGGTCGACCATTAAAAGTACTTCAAATGTGATCCGGGACACATGATCACCAAACTTGGTCTAAAGACCATTAAAAGTACTTCAAAGGCACAACGAAGACGGCTCTGCGACAAATAAAGTGGCAACGAACATTGAAGTTTAGTAAAATTTTCTACTAATCATGAATGTGCTCCCCTTGACAATATCACTACACCAATCCTCTACTACTTGGCGAGGTAGCTAGGAGAAAATAATGCGTGAGACAATTGAAATATGCATGAATCACAGCAAAAACTCATGTTTAGAGATGCTGACTTCATCTTTACTCATCTCCATATCTCCATTTATTCTGTTTAATTCTCAGCTGTCCCTATTTTTTCTCCTGTTAAGTTTCTCTCTCTACTTTCCCATTAGCCATCCCTATTTCTTCTCTTTTTTTCTTGAGACGAAGCAATCAACCATGGATCTGACTTCACACATTCTCTCCTTCCTCTCTCTCTCCTTCTCCTCTTTGGGAGGATGTACGCATCCAATTGTGACCCACTTTTCATGGTCACCCTCATCCACGTCAGCTGCTTGCAAGAACACTCGTGCATCAGCCTTTGCAGACCGTGGCTTTATCCTTTGAAGGGTGCTTGGAAGTAATAAGGAGCCTGGGTCGCCGCCTAGCCACAGTTCCTCAACGATATCACCCTTCTAAGGTGACACATCGTCACCTGTGGTCAAGTGTTGGATCCCCACCTGCAACGGTGCTCCTCCTTTCTTCCTAACTGAGCAATAGAATCCTCGGCTCAGATCACGCTTTCTCTCACCACTTTATCTTTGGTCTTAATTTTTTTTTTAAGGTTTCATCTTGCTCAGACCTTCCATTTCCATTGTTCTCATCGTCCCCTTGACTCCACCTTCTCGATCTCCAAGCCCATCTTTCTCTTTCACTTTTTACAAGAATGCAAAAGCCCACTCTTTTGCCTTTGCCTGAGTTCTGCCATGTCTTTGAGAAAATCATTGGTTTGGCCCTCTGTCATAGCATTATCAAAGGCGGGAATTCTATCTAGAAGCTCCTTTAGCCCTTTGGCAATAAGGAGTCCAAACAAAAAAAGAAAAAAATAAAACTTTTGGACCCAGAGCCATGCAAAAAAAAAAAATTTGTATTTTGCAAGTTATGTGTTTTTTCGCATCCACACCCAACTTGAGGGGGAGAGTATAGGGGATATGGAGATGAGTAGAGGTGAAGCACTTTCGAATGAAGCACTTACAGGCACCACAGGAAAGTTGAGAGAGAAATAGCAACTTTGTAGAGAGAGACACAGGAAAGTTGAGAGAGAAATAGCAACTTTGTAGAGAGAGAGAGCACGTACTGATTGAGAGAGGTAGAGGATCGAGTGTTCTGATACCATGTTAAGATTCGTAGGAGCATACATGCATTGAATAGAGAATGGAGAGCGAAGAAGAGAGAACACAATATTATAATATTTATGTGGTTTAGGCCGAAGCTTTGCGTCATGGATCCAAAGCCCAACTAGCTACATATTCATTGTTTTGGATAAAAATTACATCAATAAGTGCCTCTATATATAGAAAACAATCGCAATGAATCTTGAAAATAGAGGTAAATAGTAATAAGTCTTCTCACAAATAACTAACCAATA